GGGGGGCAGCCACTACATGCACTCCTGAGAGGAGGGCGTGGGGGGGCATGTGCCCCTCAGATGTCTATACAGGGTGGGGGCAGATGCAGGCTGCCCACTACAGCCTCAACGCTCCCTGCCCTGCTGCCCTCCCCCAGGGAGCCCCACACCAGCCACATGGCCATGGCGAGGTGCCCCCTGCCTGCCCAGAAACAGCAGATGGGGGGGCATGGACTTGTACCCCATACTACAGCATGGCTAGGCTGGGCTCCCGGGGGGAGGGCAGCAGGGCAGGGAGCCCTGAGAACGCATCCACCCCCACCCCTTCATGCGTTCTGCTCTGGTAGTGCTATTGGCGGAGGCATCATCTTAGCACCGTCCCTGCAAGCAAAAATAAAAGTCGGTGCCTATGTCCTTCACAAGCGTTCTTCAGGCAGCATTCTGGAGCAGGGGGTGCTGGGAAATTAGAGACAAGTGGCCTGGAAGAGTGGAAGCACAGAAGATTTTCAAGCTGATGGTGGGCTCTGTGCATCTTCGATGCCCAGCTCCTCAGGGCCAACCACCCTCACGGGACTGACAGGAAATCCGCACCCCCCAGAACGGAGCAGTCAGATGGAAAAACGAGCTTCCTGGAATCTCCCTCCACCCGCCCAAGAAGGAAACCATCTAAACCTAAATATTATTGTTTGGAAATTCATTTGAAAAGTAAATGGCATGACTTCATCGACTGCTGAGCTCTGTCCCTCATCCATTAACCATTTGCTATCCTGCTTGGTTTTTTTCCTTTCAATACCCACACCACTGCAAGAAGGGCTCCCAGCTACCACCATTAAGTCTCCCTCTGCTCAGCTCTCCACCCCATGGGCTCATCAATTCCCTGTGGCTCTGCATTTGCTATCCCGCCCGCAGGAATCACGGAGAGGGAGCTAACATTTACAATACCCGTTATCTGCAAATATCCCAAAACATACAACCAGCTAAGCAGGAAACTGCACCCTAGGGATAGGGGAAGGAAGTGGAGGCTGGAGGAAGGAAAGGGAGCCCAGAGATCCCAACAGCAGGACTGATGGAGACAGCAGCACCTGGGTAGGAGCCTGCAGGTCTCAAGCTTATTGTATAATATACCTCTGGGAGCTATAGGTACAGCACTGTCAAGGGCTACAACCACATGGGCCATTACATATCCCTCCAGCCTCCTTTGCTTTGCTCAAATCGCAGGCTATGAGAAAGGGTTGCTTACCTTGTGGAGCCAGTGTAGGTTCATTTGCTGTCCCACTGCTATGTGACATAGTGCTAAAATCTGAAAGGACAATGAGAAGAGACGCCGGTCAGACATCAGATTATACCAGATGCAACAGCACATTCAGTATGTACATAGGAAACTTGCCTTGATGTGAGACTGAGAACAGCAATGAGAAGGGGATAAAGGGGAGGCTTGGAGGGCAGGTTAAAAACAAATTACGAAGCTGTACGGTAGAGTCTGCTCTAAAGGGAGAACAGGGTAGATAGACTTTTGTGGCCCTTGCAATGGTGGCAGTTGAAGAGGACATCACGTTAGGGTGCAGATCAGAAGAGCTGACAAGAAATACTATTTGTTCTGAGCAAGGTAAGAAGATGCTGCTGACCCAAGTGTCAGCCTCAGGATTCAGGCCATAGTCAATGCTGGACACAGGCATGGGTGAACTGGGCAGCCAGGCAGAAAGGGGGCCCAAAAATGGCAATTTTTTTCCCATTGTCCCATTATTATTATCATCATCACTGGCAAAGTGGGGCCCGATACTAGAAGTACACCCACAGCCGCCAGGAGTCTAGGTACAGTATTGGTCACAGTATCTCAGGATGCGGTGCAGCATTTCTTCCATTTGATGGAAAACCGAAGGCTGAGGTTATATGAAAAAATGGGACCAAACCACAGGGAGAGTGAGATAAACAGTGGGTCAGCTGGAGCCACTTTGCATGATAACCTCTGCTAGATGAGTAGCCGGTAACACCAGGGGTGGAAAGAGCTTCAATATTTTATCTGCTCAAAACTACTTGAGGTGGGAGCCAGCAAGAAGCACACGTTGTACAGAACCGACCCGCTTCAGCAATGCTCTTGCACAGGGCAAGCTGAAATGCATGCTCTGGTAGCACTCATCGATGGACTTTAATTTACCTACCAACAACGCTGTAACGTAAGTAAAGCCAGCAGCAGTTGTTATAAGTACTGGAATGGACCAGTCACTCCAATATCCCATCCGGTTATACAAAAACCTGAAAGACAAAGCGTGAAAGCAATCAGGCAAAGATGCAACACCAAACCAACTCTGCTGCATTCGGTAAAGGTTAGACCAGGGGCTACTCCCTCTCCGCGACAGCCGGCGAGAGCCGGGAGATGAAAGGAACGAGTCGTTTCAGAACAAACACAATATTTGTGCATTGAGGTCTCATGGGAAATCACTCCGGGAAGCTGCATTTGGATGATTATGTTAAAGGCTGATACCGTGCTATTAGGAAAAATATACAGGGCTGGGGTTTGGCTTTCCAAAAAGCATCCCATGTAAACAAGTAAAACAGAGTGCGACACAAATATTCCCACTGGGATTTGCACTCCGATCTCAATAATAGCTTTCAGGGCAAGGCATCAGATGGGGAAACCGTAGCAGAAGGAATGAAGGAGAAGGAAAAAAAAGGGAGCCCAGCTATTCACAATAGCACCTACTGAAGACCTGAGCTCCTTGTAGAGGGGACAGGGAAAGCTAGTGGTGGTGGTGGTGGTGGAAATTGGATCTGATTAGCATTGCAGGGACCGTGGCCAGAAATGTGAAGGGTTCAAATGTTGCTTAGGCACTGCATCACTACCAAGCTGGTTGCAGAAGGCAAGCATCCCTGTTAGGCGAGGTGGGTATCTGCTCAGAAATGCATTCAAGTGATGTAGGAGCTAGGATGTAGGTGAGCAGCAGGGCAGAGAATGAAGGAGGATCCCGGGGCAATAGCCCTGGATCTGCGACTGCTTCATTGTGGAGCTCAGGCCAGGTCCTAACTCCTGTATCGTTGTCCTTAACTTCCGTGGGACCACAACTTTGATGAATCATGCTTACAGAAACAGTGACTGGACCACACTACGTGCCTAAAATGTAGGGTTGTATAAAGGTGAGAAGGCAGAGAGCCCAGCCAGCTGAGTACTCAATTCATGTGCTCGGCAGGGTCAGGCATAAAGAGCAGATGTGAAGGCTTCATCCATACCACTAACAGGCCAGCCCTGGCCTGAAGGCCCCCTCTTCGTGCAAGCATCGATAGAGCTCAGCCTCAGTGGCCTTCTCGGTCCTCTGCTGAGTCTGTGACTAAGGGAGGGCCAAATGAGGACAACGATTCTTGGAGGCTTGGAAAGCTGCTCCCGGGATGCTGGAATAAAACTACTTTTCTCACAGGTCAAATACTAACTTTCAGGCAGCTCAGGGACAGGCGGAGAACTGAACAAAACCCCAAAGCCTAGATCTGCTAAAGGACCCAGGGGCCTAAAGTGGTATTTAAACAGAATTTAGGTACCTAAATCCACAAATATTATCCTCCAAACCCCACTCTCGCGTTCTGCCAGTCAAGTTCCCTAAATCTGGATGTCTCTTTCTGCACATGTCCAGAAGTACCACCATCCCGGCAAGACTGAAAAGCTCAGTGCTGATCTTGCAACACAGCCCATTTGGAGTCCTCAGTCTCAGAGGCACCTTATTCCCCTGAGAGCTTGTCTGCACCAGGGGTGTCAAACTCATCTGGTCTTGCAAGCTAGATGAGTGGCATGGGACCAGTCCACAGGCCAGGTCATGCACACGGATGCCCCTTTACCCCCACTCCTCGTGCCAGATTCAGCGCACACAATGTCTATTCCAGGACCCATACCACGCACGGTGTCCCCCTACCCAGCCCTGGACAAGCTGGAGGAGCAGGAGGAGGGCACGTGCAGTGCAGTCCTGGACCAGCCAGGGTGGGCACTGCGTGTAACATGGATCTCAGACCACGCAGAGCGGGTGTCACATGCAGTGTGCATCCCAAGCCCTGCACCTGGGGCTGTCCCAGTGGCATATGGGTCAACTCAGACCCATGGGGCAACACTAAGGACTGAATGATGGCTGGATCTGGTCCACAGGTCAGATCTCTGACACCCCTGGTCAAGCCTGAGGAACCAGATCCTGCAGGCATGAATGACTGCTCCGAGTTTGGCCTAAAACAGCAGCCAGAGCCATATTCATCCCATCTTGGGGTTCTGCTGCCATTGGTACCACACCTTTTAAATGCTAATCTAGCGATTAAACCACTTGCCCAGGAAGCATGAGATCTCCTTGCAGTTCCCTCCTAAGCCCAAGAGGTTTCAAACCCACCCAGAAAAGGGCCTTTGCCACCAGATTGGACACTTAGCCGAGGTGGGGGCATTCTCCACCTGACCTATATTGAAGCCATGCCACTCTGCAGCAACTAATGCAAAATTCATTGGGCTATAGACAGAGGGTCCTTTGCAATTAAAGCCACAGCAGAGAGCTGGAGCACCTCGGTAGCACCATGAAGCTGCTTGCCATGGCTGTTTCTAACTGCAAGCTGGGTCGCAAATCCTCACCTTCCCAAGGGCTAAGGGACTTCACCAAGGTCTGGGTCCTACTGAAGGCCATCTCTCCTGGAAAGGTCAAGCTTGCATTCAGGTCTCTGCTCCCCGAGCTATTTACTCATTAAAGAATCATCCGATAACACACAGTAGCAGTGCAGTGACAATGTGCAGCAAGTCCCTACTTCCTTGCAACTTGCTGGGATTCAATCATTTGTCCACACACACGCACTACGCACATACAAGGTTGGGTACTAGGAGTGGAAAGTGTGCTGTGGCACACTGAGCTTTGCTGGGAGCTAGGCAGGGCTGAGCCCACATTGATACCTCCAGTTCAGCCGTCCCAGTTTGCAGCGAGGGCTCTGCCTGCGAGGGCGGCAGAGGTACTGGCAATGAAGGAGTTAGCGGCAATTGCTTGAAACAAGCAGGCCAGTCACCACATCTGGTGCTGTACGAGATACTACCCCTGTCTCCCAGCCCTGGACTTTAAATGTTAAAATTTGCATTTAAATGAAGACACACTTCCTAATAAAAGTCTCCTGGAATGAAGCCGAAGGGTAATTAAAGAGAGCGTCCCGCTTTACTGGTTTTTGCACAAGGATCAATGAAGCTACAACAAAACACATGACAGATGCTGACACCGGCTCCATCTTGCCCCGGTGGCTGAAGGTAACAGCATCTCAGCACTGTCACCTGATGGGTCCCACTCCATTCTCATGTACATATGTGAATGGGATGCTTTCCAGAGCTTGCATTTGGAAATGCCTTGGGGTCCCAGACCCCTGTCAGTAAGATGATTTCAGCATGAGTAAGGTTCCCTCCAGCGGTTCCTCACCACCCGCAGAGCCCACGCAGATGCCAAAAGCATCAGCTCTGCAGCCTCCTGAAGGACCCCACTCCCTGCTGTAACCAAAGCAGCCCAGACCCAGCTTCAGAAACCGCAGTGGAGGCACCGTTACATTTGGAAGACCGATGCCTGCTCCTCGAGGACCTGCACAAAAAAAATGCCCCAAAGAGACGCCTTAAGTTTCTGGCTAGGAACAAGGCCTTTAGTCTTAGACAGCACAAGGGTTTTGAACAGAGCCCGGGCACTCGGTCATAAGCAGCTGTAGCTTTAAAGCTGAAGGAGACTTTGAAAAAGAGCTCCCTTGAAACAGCAATCAAAGACGAGCAAGAAATGAAAGGAACGCTGCATTTGGGGTTTTTTTTTAAAACTCCTCCAAACTGGAATCCACCAAAAGCTGGAGGTTTGTATTTGGGTCTTTCATCCTTTTGACTCCTTTTGAGCAGGTGCAACCGAGCACGGGGTCTACCCTACACAAATCCTGCTGTCTCCATTTTTTTTTCCTTAATTAATATATTTCGTGTTCCAGGTCAAATCGGCTGAATCGTATTGATTGAGCACAACTCAATCGTGCCAAAAACCGTATCATTTGGGTAGGCAGAACTCAGTTGTTCTAAACACCACGCCTGGCACTACAGTCGGTGGGCATCCTCCATCCCAGGGACTCGAGACGCTGGCAGGCATCTTACGTGCAGGCCCAAGCCCATCGGTCTTGGGATTCAGATACCCCCACCTGATCTTAGCCCACAAGAGGCCGAGACACTTGATCTGAGCCAAAAGGCCTAGAAGCGATGCTGTCCGACTCAAATACAACAGCTGGGATGGGGCATCGGGTCCCTAGGACACACGCAGCTCTGAGGCCGGAGGGGTTCTGCCATCAGAGTCACTTCACCTTCTCCAAACACCAGCAAAAGCCGACACACTAGGGGTTGTGTGGGCAAAACAAAGGTGGCTATGGGTGCTATCGATTCATGTCCCTTACAGACACAGCCCTGCTGGCAGAGCTCTGCGACTAAGAGGGCCAAAAGTAATGTTGAGTCTTAAGTCCACTCCTGATCCCATTCAGTTTACTAAAGATTTTGCCAAGGACTTCAACCCCCTCCCCCCCCGCACTGAAGGGATGAATTAAGCCCAACCTAGGTTTCAGAAAACGATTTCTGATCTTGAGACTAAATGAGAAGCACTGGCCTGCAATCCACCTTTTTGGATGCTCTTTGACATGCCTGGCAGTAGGTTTGCACCACAAAGGTACCGAGAATTGGCATCAAGTTCATTTTCCAAACCTGAGCACACTTTCAACTGAATCCTCTCAGACACAAGGGAGTACTGGAAAGACTGTGCTATCAAAAGCCGTTGCCTACAATAATATCATATCTTATCACAAACACGCAGCTTTAAAAAAAGAGTTTCGGGAAATTGTGGGGCACCTTATGTGTGAGAAATATGGTAAGAACAGTTTCTGCGAAAGTAAAATCTGTAGGGGGAGCAGAATAACAAGCAGGGTCAGGTCCCTAGTGGCTGCTACTCAGTTACTTACTGAGGAAAGAGCTTTTTTCTTTATTCAGAACTGGTGGTAGAGGTGATATCTTTTATTGAACCAACTACTTTTTTGCAAAAATCTTTAATTGCAAGCTTTTGGGCACAAGCACTCTTCTTCAGGCATAGGAGAAAAGATTGTAAGAGTTCTCCTGGGTTTACAATCTGTTCTCCTATGCCTGAAGAAGAATGTTTGTGTCCAAAAGCTTGCAATTAAAGAACTTCTTTTGCAAAAATCTAGTTGCTCTAATAAAAGAGATCACCTGTGCCATGAGTTCTGATTCCTTTTGCCTCTAGACC